AGTCCACGTCATGTAGGATCAATACATGATTTACTGTTTTTTAATTGGATAATTTGATTTTGGATGAATACGTCGCCGGTGAACGGTTTATCGGTATATCGCAGTTTTTTATGTTTCAGCGTATAGGGGGGAAATTGAAGGGCTTGAGGCAGTAAGGTGCCCTGACATATTGACTTCACTTCCACAAATCTATAGCTGTAAATCCTGAAATCATGTTTCTTGCTTAATTTTTGATTGAAATCTTACATTAGGTATATAGGTATTATATATACACATATATATATATATATATATATATATATATATATATATATATATGTAGATTCTGATGGATCGGTCCTCCACTCATGGGCTTTTTAGAGTCGATAGGTCCTCCGCTCTGATAGGTCCTCCGTATAAGGAGGACCTATCGCAAATTCCACCTATCGGCCCCTCAGGCCCCCCTCTGTCACCTGGCAAAATTTCAGAGGGATGACCTAGATCATGTTTTTCGCCGAATTTGGGTACCGTAGTTCAGGGTTTTGCCGCGCCGATTTGGTGGACTCACGATCGCTTGGGTATTCAGCCCGTATATTATCAAATATTACCAGTCAGGTCTACAGTGGATCGGTCATCTGCCGGGTATTCAGTATCCAGATTATCGCTTTTAGATCCTCCTTAATATTGGCATCGCTGTATTAGGTATTTTATTATATTTGCTGTGTTAGAGGATCGGCTTTTCACCTTTCTATGTCTGGTGCGGCCCAGTTCGCCGTCAGGCATTATAATAGGGGCGTCCGTGACCGAGAGTACCGTAATGCAGCAATAATATATTTGTTCGATTACTATCATTATTAATATAATTATGATTACGATTATGGTTGTGATTATGATTATGATTACGATTATTATTACTAGTTTTCGGAAAAAAATGTTTTTCCAATCAGGTTTTAGACTCATAACAAGTCGATTTGACATAAGTCACCTCTATGCAAAAGTGCTTCGTTTATTTGCCAACTAGATTTTTACGCTTGATGTGTTAAAACATTTTTTTAGAAACCAGCCCCAAAAAAGGTTTTTTTTTCTCGAAAACTATGAAAGATATCTCGTTTTAATGAGAGACAAAGGATGGAATAAATAAAAAAATCGGTCATGAGGAAAGTTGGGAAAAATTCTGCTACAATTTATGTAGGTGTGGGGGTAGTTTTCACCCTTCCAAAAAGCTCTGGAGTTTTTCGTAAAAGGCAAATATTAGAACGCTGAGCAGAGCATATGTGTTCCAAATTTCATTAAAATCGACCTACCGGCTTTTGAAATATCTTGGAAAACGTGTTTTTAAAAGAAAACTTTGATGCCCCCTAACGAAGCACCTTCGAATACAGATAACTTATGTGCAATCGACTTGTTCTCAGTCTGAAAATAACTAGTAATCTCACGTCCATGGAATATTGGGTCACGATGTGTACAATACATGATTATATGAACAAAGAGCAAAGTTTAGCGTAAAGCTACTCAAGCTAAATTAAAAAGGGTAATATAGATAGACCATTATGCAAATACAACCACATGAATAGAAAATCAAGGATGGTGTAGTATTAAGGAAAAATGTTCACAAAAAAACACTCTCAAATATGATAAAGGTGATGCTCAAATCCAATTTCCTATAGAATAAAATAAAAACAAATATGCTAATCCTAGTTTTACAATTTAAAAATATGCTTTTACTTACCGCGCCTATTGGCAGGGAATTAATGTAATCACAAAAAATTCGCTTTAGCTGCAGTGGTTGCAGAGTGGTCAACAAACGAAGAGAAAATTGCATAAACTTCGCTTTCGGACAATGACCTACATTTTTCAACATTTTGTGCTTTGACAACCACGCGGTTATAGGAGCGAAGGATAAACGCAAATAATATCGGTATGAATTTTATTTACGAAAATACATAAGAAGAAAACTGAATTTATACATTGACAAAATGAAACTACTAAAAAATGCTTATACTTAGTTTGTGATACATATGTTCATACTTAATTTCTACTTTATTAAAAAAACGGGTTCGCTCATAAATTGAGATGGTATTCATTTTTTCTTTCGGTACTGGTTCTGGATGAAAACTTTGATTTTTAGCCAGTCCTTATTATGTAATAATTCAGTATGACTTGCGATGAGGTTATCGCATTCAGCCTTTTTTGGGGCCCTCTTAGATTTAATGTGATTTCCAAAGTGAACCAAGACTAAATTTTTCTGATCTTCAGTCCAAGGAACTAGAACCCTGGACTTTTTCTTTGGTAACGTTATATCCACTTGCTGAGATTCCGGATCTGGATGCGGTTCTTGGATATCTTCATATTGGCATAGAGGCTCTGGGTGGTTATCATCCTGCTGCGCTTCTGATATCAAATTCTCGTCTAGATTCAAATTAATTTCGTCCAGGGATTTTCCTTTGAAATGACCTGCCTCGCCCTTCTCCATCAACGTCAAAATCTTGGAGAGTCTAGCCGTTTGGTAGACGTCATCTGGTAATCGGTATGATGCACGGTGGATACCTAGTGTATGTCCCATAAAAGATGCGAGTTGTTCCATGTCATTTTCTGACATGTTGAACAATTGAGTCAAGGTTGCCAAGTGCTTTCTCAGACGGGTGCTAGTCAGAGCATGCGGATTTTTCGCTTGACATAACGACGCATACTTTTTGATTACCTTGTAACCAATAATGGGTTCTTGGGAGTTAGGTTTACCGAAAAGATATATGTTCGACACCGTCTGAATATTATCTCTACACTCTAGTATTAGATTCAAGTGATCCTGTACATCCTTGCTTATAAGAACTGGAACACCTCTGCCTCTTTTTCCACGGATTACTATTCGTTTGAAAGATCTCATTAGAATTCTCTCGGTTTCTGTTATTGCTTCTGAAAACTCCTCATAGGCTTGATTGTGTTCCTCAGATATAGCGGATTTGTAAACATGTATGGGAAGTCGTTGTAGTTCTCCAGGCCGCCTCCTATTTAATAAAAGCAACCTACAATAAACTGTCTCGAGTAAAGACGTGTATGCTTTTTCATTGCTTGGATTTTTTTGTAGCATTGATACCTGATTTGCAGCTACTTTCATGAGGTAATCCTTCAATAGTTTGAGATCAGTAGCTAACGGTACCAAAGTGACCTTATTCCATTTTTTTAGGTTGAGGTCATTAGCAGCATTGGTTGAAATATCGAATCGCCAATTTGCCTCTATGAGTTGGATGCATGTTTTTATATCTGCCTCAACGTTTGCATTATCTACTGTTGGCAGTGACTTAGATTTTTTTAGAACGTGTAAAAGAGCCACATCGCAACATTGTTTTAAGGTTGTACCCATGTTCATAGCATATGTGGGGGATTTATAAGTTTGGCTTTCGTCATCATATCCTGATGTTAATTTAGTTGCTTTCACAAGTATGTCATATTTGTGTGGTTTTAGAGCATCAAATAGGGTAACCACAGACAAATCTAATTTTTTTATCTCCATTAGAAGTCGAGCCAATTCTCTCATTTTCCTAGAAACGACTTGGACAAAATGTAGCTCCCTATGGAGTTTCAGATATCGGGAAGCAAACGCACATATTAATTTATCATTTTTCGCAACCAATGAAACTTTGTCAGGTCTCATGCGAGGAAATACTTTTACTTTGAGCTCAATATCTACCTTTATATTACCCAATAACAGAGTTTGTCCTAAAGCCTGTGATCGTTTGCCCGACGATCCCTTCTCCGGGTTTGCATCACATTGTTTGCGATGACGCCATAAGTTCTTTGCAGAATAGTAACCCATACAGTGGATGCATGGAAGATATTCCGTTTTTTCCGCACCTTTTCTAACAGGTTTTATCCCCTCTCCCCTCAAAGGCGTAGAGTTGATAAATTTACCCTTTTTCCTTAGAGCAAAAAGCAGTTGTTGCCTTTTACGGCTTAAAACAGGTAAAGCTAGAAATTCTTGTACCTCAATTTCATTCGTATGGTTTCTTTTCAAATGACGTGGAAAATGAAAAACCTCACATTCACAAAACAACAGAAAACTGTAACTTTTTTCTTCTTTCCTGACAGTCCAGTATTCACTGATGAAGAACCAGACTGACTGGGTGCAGACTGATCACATTCTGCGGTGGGAATTGATTCAGCTTTTGCATGTATAGTAACATTCTTCTTGACACTTGCCGAATGTAAGTTGTCTCTGGCCTCATCGCTCCTGTCCAGTTCCTCGTCCTTTCAAAAGAAAATAAATATAAATACAATAAATGCATAAGCATCGCGACAGGTGGACAGTACTTATACTTATCATTGGAGGCGTATCAAATGAAATGTTCAGTGAATAGTGTTAGTATTGACGTTCAATTTTGTATGTTGTTTCATTGATCAATTCATAAAATATCATGCCGTCTATGCTAAGGAATGACCATTGTTTTTCAACCACATTTCCCTCTTTCGTCTCTGGCCTTCTCTCACTTGCCAAGCAATAAGCGGAGAACCTTATCCTGAGCAAAGTTGTTCCAGTAAAAATAGATTTTATTATACCTATTTGGAAAAATGGCATCAAGCAGGCTGACTCTATACTTCCTACGCCTTCAAGATGGCTCTTAGTGCAATTTCCAATATAGTGCAATTGAATCTATTAATCTGCTGTCAAAAATAGTGGTTACAATTTGAATTCAAAGTTTTTACTTATAGATGATATCTAAGGTTTAGGTGATATTTAAGGGCATCAAAATCACTCCTTTATACTGAACTTCAAATTCAGATTGTAACCGTCATTTTTGAAAGCAAATTTATAGACTCGATTGCACTATATTGAAAATTGCACTAAAAGCTGTCTCTAAGGGGTAGGACGTATAGAGTCAACCTACTTGACACCATTTTTTCAAATAGGTATAATAAAATCTATTTTTACAGTAAAAACTTCGCTCAGAGATAAGCTTTGTCGCTTGTTGTTTGGCAAGTGAGAGAAGGCCAGAGACGAAAGAGTTTTTAATCCCTCCAAAAATGTTTTTGAAAATGATCGGGATTCTCTGAAACGTCAAATACGAAGTTTTTTGAACGTTTTTTTGAATATCTACATTTACCTGTTTTGATCCGTAAAAGGCAACAACTGCTTTTTGCTCTAAGGAAAAATCATAATTTTATCGCCTTCGGAGGTCGAGGGGGTAAAACCTGTTAGAAAAGGTGTGGAAAAACGGAATCATGCATCCACTATATGGGTTACTATTTTGCCAAGAACTTATGGCGTCATCGCAAACAATGTGATGCAAACCCGGAGAAGGGATCGTCGGGCAAACGATCACAGACTTTAGGACAAACTTTGTTATTGAATAATATAAAGGTAGATAATGAGCTCAAAGCAAAAGCATTTCATCGCATGAGACCTGACAAAGTTTCAAGTTGCAAAAGATGATAATATGTGCGCATGCTTGCTGATATCTGAAACTTCACAGGGAACTACAATTTGTCCAAGTCGTTTCTAGGAAAATGGGAGAAGTGGCTTGACTTCTAATGGAATTAGATTTGTCTGTGATTACCCTATTGATTGCTATAAAAACACATAGATATGACATACTTGTGAAAGCAACTAAGTTAACATCAGGATATGATGATGAAAGCCAAGCTTATAGATCCCCGACATATGCTATGAACATGGGTACAACCTTGAAAAAATGTTGCGGTGTGGCTCTTTTACACGTTTTGAAAAAAATCTGAGTCACTGCCAACAGTAGATAATGCAAACATTGGTTCCATTAGCTAGTGATCTTAAACTATTGAAGGATTATCTTATGAAAGTAGCTGCAAATCAGGTGTCAGTGCTACAAAAAGTTCAGGTAATGAAAAAGCATGCACGTCTTGACTGGAGACAGTTTAATGTAGGATGCTTTCATTAAAGAGGAGGCGGCCTGGAAAACTACAACGACTTCCCATAAATGTTTACAAATCCGCTATATCTGACGAACACAATCAAGCCTATAAGGAGTTTTCGGAAGCAATAACGGAAACCGAGAGAATTCTAATGAGATCTAACAAACGAATGGAAATTCGTGGAAAAAGAGGCAGAGGTGTTCCAGTTCTTATAAGCAAGGATGTACATGAGCACTTGAATCTAAAACTAGAGTGTAAAGATAATATTCAGACGGTGTCGAACATAAATCTTTTCGGTAAACCCAATTCATAAGAACCTATCATCGGTTACAAATCCGCATGCCCTGACTAGCACCCGTCTGAGAAAGGTCATAGCAACTTTGACCCAATTGTTAAACATGTCAGAAAATGACGTGGAACAACTCGCATCTTTTATGGGACATACACTAGGTATCCACCGTGCATGATACCGATTACCAGATGATGTCTACCAAACGGCTAGACTCTCCAAGATTTTGACGTTGATAGACAAGGGCGAGGCAGGTCATTTCAAAGAAAAATCCCTAGAAAAAATTGAATTGAATCTGGACGAGAATTTGATATCAGAAGCGCAGCAGGATAATGACCACCCAGAGCCTCTATATCAATATGAAGAAATCCAAGAACCGCATCCAGATTCGGAATCTCAACAAGTGGATGAAACGTTACCGAAGAAAAAGACCGGTTCTTGTTCCTTGGACTGAAGATCAGAAAACTGACAAGGAAGTATTCTAAAGTATTTTCATGTTATATGACATGTAGATCACTCATTTCCGTCAGTCTGTCCGCCGCTCTGCTGCTGTGTCGAGTCCTTGATTACTTGAGGGGGAAGGTTACCACTAGACCAGGGACAGAAAAGCTACCTATATAGTTTTTAAGAGCGTTCCAGTGCCGGCGGAGAAAAAGTTAAAAACAAAAAAGAAATCTCATAAACTTCGTTTTTTATTGTTTCAGATACTGATCATTTTTGAGAAAAAAATTTGTGGTGGAAAATTAGCGAGTTGGAGGTTGTAGAGGGTGGGACGGGTATATCTCTTTTTATTTAGTTTAATGATACACTTCCATCCCTAGTAATTCTTCGCAATCTATTTGACACATTCTAAACATCATAGATTCCCCTCACATAGCAACGTTTTGATGGAAAAGATGTTATAGTTATTAATTGGAAAGTCGAAAAATCAAAAAATTTGAAAGTTGAAAAATATTAAAATTGTAAAATTACAAAATTAAAATATCGGATTGGCTACACAACTCCACCCAATCCAAATTTTTCAATGGGTACTTGAGTAGAATAATAGTAATATATTTACCTCAGCCTCTTCACTAGTGTGGGGACTATAATCTTCATCTTCTGCATCAGAAATTACAGAAGATGATGGTGGTGTGCAGCATATATTAGGCGAAGTAAGAGATATGAACTGAAATGAATGACATATATCAGACATGTTTCATAAAGAATACATAATATTGCTTTACCGAGCTAGATTCACTTTGGTGGTCTGGATCTTCCACTATGCTCTCGTTATTCGAGGTAACGTTGTACTGAAAAAGGTTCAATAGAATAAAAAAGTTCACAGACTAGGCAGTGAATGATTATTACCTCAGAGTCCTTGCACAAGTTACTGCAATGAACATTTTCTGATAAACCGGATATTGATGATGATGGGGGTGTACAGCATATCTTGGGGGATGTAGAAGATATTACCTAGAATAAATCATAAATATGGGAACTCTACCAAAAAAAACATACTTATGTTTTACCGAGTTGCAGTCACTGTGGTCGCTGTTTTGTTTAACCACAGATGACACCTTACGTGAATCAGTAATCACTGTTTCAGAAGTCTTATCTTTTTCTTCATCTCTTGGATGCTGTGTGATAGGTGATAGACCTCTGTTACAAAACCAATTTTTGCTCATATTGAAAGGCTTTCCCTGGAAAAGTTCAAATATATTGTTTTGTAATTATTCCGTTTCAACTTAGAGAAATAATACCATTCCAAAAAATAATAGATATACAATATCGACTATCTTCAGGAAGAATACAACATGCTTGTTTTTAGTGAAAAGATATTTGATAAGAGTGCTCTCAAAAATGTCAAAAAGCCAATTATATTAGAGTAATTTTTGTCATTAGCTTTTTTCCCAATGAACTGACATCCACAAGCCATTTTTTTCCGTGCAGCAATAGTATATGTTGATTGTCAAAGTAAAATACTTTATTTTTAATTGATTCTAGTAGCAATACCAGTGAATGATGTTCGAAATTTTACCAAACTCAATAATACGTAATGTGTTATCATTAAACACTATATCCATGCATTAACACTAGAAATTTTTGAGTGTACAGATACAGGAAATAGGTATGATTTCCTGTTTTCTACGCAAATGTTTGATAAAGTCAGATATGTCAAATAGATCCGATAGAAAACCTTAGGAAATTACGATTCACTCCCTCATCAACTCCTAACCCTCAAAATTTATTTGGATAATGATCAAGAGCCCCTGAATCGTCAAAAAACAAAGTTTGAGCGATTTCTATTTTTTCGTTTGTGGCCCTTTTCTCTGACGCCACTGGACCTATTTTTAAAAGCTAAAGCTTTCTTGTCCATAGCC